TATATATACATATATAATATTAATTATAATTTCATGTATGGGCGGTTGAAATGTGGCCAAGCAATTGTCGAAGGAGAGATTAGTTGGGTAAAATAAGCGGAGGGCCTCGTTTCAGTTTTGGTGGTGGAGAAGAGGCCAAGCAGATGGGCGTATACACCGTACATCCCCGCTCATTCCTTGCTCCATTGTTATTCCATTGATTTAATAAATGAATTCAAATATCTAAACTGTTTAAATTAATTAATTTTAGTACTGCAGTGCGGCTTCTCTTTGGAAAAATTATTTTATACAGGGTACACAACGCAGCAGGCTCCAGTAAAATGTCTATGCTGCTGTCACGTAAAGGATATTGGGAAGTTATTGATATAAAATTATGAGGGTTATTAGAAAGTTATTTGTAATTTAGTAACAGATTATTATGGGGGTTAATGCAGTAATTTATTAAAATAAAATCACGAAAAATTATTTGGAGATTATTGGAGTAGAATCTCGAAGGTTATTGGGAAGTTTACTAAAGTCCGGGTATATTAGAGTCCGCACGAAATAAATACTCTATGGAATAATTTCTCCTATGTCGGCGGGGTTTAGCATTGTATTATTTGTTTATATCTATAAATATAAGTAATTAAATTGAGATGCAGGTATTTATGTTGTGCTTGTTGGCGGGGTTGAGCATCTGCTGGTTCAACACCGTCTGTTTTGTGCTGTGCATACGAAACTTCTCCGCTACCCGCTGCCTCGCCCTCTCCCTCACTGTCAGCTTCAACGGCGTCAGCGCCGCCCTTTACACCCTTGTGGCCAAAGCCATCAACGGTTCTCCTTCTTCCTACCTACTCCTCAACGCCCTCCTCCCCCTCCTCACCTCTCTCGCCGCCCTCATTCCCATCCTCCGCCAGCCCCCCCTTCCCTCCCCCTCCTCCAGCCGTCGTGACGTCCACATCTTTTTCCTCCTCAATGTCATCGCCTTCCTCACCGGCGTCTATCTCCTCTTCCTCAATCCGGCCGCCCCCAACGCTGCCACCTCACGGCTCCTCCTGGCCGGCGCTCTCATCCTCCTCGCCCTCCCCCTGGCCATTCCAGGCATCGTCGTAGCCCGAGACTGGGCTCTCCACAACATCTACTCCAGCCAGCTGGAGGACGCTGAAGACCAATACGACATACAAAAGGAACTGATCATTCCCGGAGATGGGGGGCTGGAAAACCGAGTCTTGGAGATCATCCCGGACGACAACGACTATGGATCTCTCTGCTGCTGCAGTAGTTGGTACAATGAGTTGATGGCGAAGGACCGGCTTGTTTTGCTCGGGGAAGAGCATGGTGCCAAGAGTCTCATCCACCGCCTCGATTTCTGGATCTATTACATGTCCTACTTCTGCGGTGGCACCCTCGGTCTCGTCTACAGCAACAACCTCGGACAAATTGCGCAGTCACTGGGACGGACCTCCATGCTCGTCAACCTCTACTCCTCCTGCTCCTTCTTCGGCCGCCTCCTCTCCGCCGCCCCGGACTTCCTGGGCCGGTTAGCATCATATTTATTATCATGCTAATTGCCAACTAGATTGATTTTGATCAAACATTTCACAGGGAAATATATATGTATTAACGCAAACAACTTGACGGCAGGCGGTTCAATTTTGCGAGAACTGGTTGGCTCGCTGCAGCGCTGGTGCCGATGCCGCTGGCTTTCTTCCTGCTGGCGGCATATGCGGAGCCGGGCGACGGGCACGCTCTGCTTGTGGGAACGGCTCTGGTGGGGCTGAGCTCGGGGTTCATTTTTGCGGGTGCGGTGTCAGCGACTTCGGAGTTGTTCGGGCCGGAGAGCTTCGGCGTGAACCACAACATCGTCATCACCAACATTCCGCTGGGTTCGCAGCTCTATGGCCTGCTCGCCGCCCTCGTCTACGACGCTAACGGAAGAGTAGTGGGCAGCTGGCACATGACACAGGCCGTGGCGGCGATGTTAGTTTGTATGGGCCGACGCTGCTACTCCAAGACCTTTCTTGCCTGGGGCGCCATTTCGACTTTCGGCCTAGCCTTTGCTATCCTGCTCTACTTGAGGACGAGGGCGGCTTACAATCGCGCTGCCCGCTGCGTCGGCCGGCGGCCGGTGCCTTGCAATCGCGAAGATCTCCGATAGGTGTATCTGTCCTGCTGGGGTTTAGCGGATGACCACAGATGCAGGTTTGTTTTTCAGTAGACACATTAATGTTAATATTCTGACTTCTGATCATACCCCCACAATTGTAAATATATTTCCCCAAATTGAAATACAATCTAAATTTCATGGAAGTTTTTGTTATACATTTCGATAAAGTGCATGCCTTTAAAAGAACATTCTAATAAATTGTCTTTTTTTTCTCGATACCAAAGTCTATTAGTAATATATTGAGGCTTAAATTGTCCGTGAATCAGACCTAATGAAAAGAGTATAAAACGGTTTTTTTTCTTTTTTTGAAACACCCAATTCTATTAATAACACGTTAAATCTGAAATTATCTGTGAATCACACCTAACAAAGCGTAAGACAGGAGAGAGAGAAGGGGGATATTTCGGGCTCTTTTGACTCTCTCTATATAATCAAATCTTTATGAATACATGAGAAGAAATAGAGGGTCAAATGTCCCCCTAACATAAAGTGACCTCCATTTATAGGGGATGAAGTACAACATGATGATATGATATTTATGTGGTCTCGTAGCTCTCGGTTGTACTGGGTCGTCCAAGTTATAGGTTGTCCGGACAGCGGGTCGTCCAGGTTGTTGGCATTCAGGCTGCGGGTCGTTTAGACCGCACATCATCGCTGGTCGCTCAGACCTCTAGTCGTCCAAACTATGGGTCGTTCAGACTGCGAGCCTTCTAGGCTACTGATCATCAGACTGTTGGTCGTCTAGACTGCAGGTCGTCAATGTACATGTTCATCCAGACTGCTAGTCGTCTAGGTTGCTGATATTCCAAACTATGGGATTCAGTCTGACATATTTGTTATGTACGTATTTAGTTTTTGGATTCTCTTCTCTTTGAAATGCAACTTTGGAAGGCATAAGAGAATTTTAATGCAAAAAATGTTATTGCATCTACTCTTAATCGATAATTGAATAATTGAACTTCATTTTTAATTGCTCTAAAGTGCTCTCTTAAGGACTTTGAGTCGGTAGGACCAATTTAATTGGCTAGACTTTACTGGCTTTTGGCTCAATCAGTGTTTTTTAGTCGGTCGATCTGGCTTGGCTGCCAGCCGTATCTTTAACTTAGAGAAATTTTCTTTTCTTTTTTAACATTGGCAAGTAAATATATAAGAAGTTCTATGGAATTTTTTTTAGGGTAAACTAAAGTGAAGTTCTCGATCATTTTTCACCTTTATTTTTGTGTTTTACCTCTTACCAAATGTTTTATTTTCCTTGTGACAATCGCTTGGCTTATGATGATTGATAGGTCGACTTTCCTAAGGATTCTTTCAGATGATTTTTCTCAAGTTACTGCCCGACTCAAGTCTTACACCTCGTATTTATTGTTTGTTCGGTCGGGTCGTCGCCTCTGACGGGCCATACCTTTTGTCAGGCAAATTTAGCTTATCATGCCGCTATTTTTGTGGGGGTTATCGTCTAGACTTACCACTAAGATGATTTGCACGCCACTCAATGCAGATCTTCTCGCTAATGAGTAGAGACTCACCTCAAGAGCTTGACTTGTACTGAGTTAGGAGATATAGGCTATTCATTCTTGGGCGTTGTTTGGTCGGTTCTTGCGCAGTTTGACAATCGGACATTAATCGTCGTTGTCGGTCATACTTAGACGATTTTAAAGAGAATATTATCGAGCAAACTATATTTCATTGTTGTCAAACTTTTAAAAGTATTAAAGACCGATTTTTGCTCGTTGTTGTTGGTTTTATTGCTTGAACGGAACTTTCACCGCTCAGTTACTCAAGTTCCCCAAGTGTTGATCAGATATTGACCATCTATTACACAAAATTTCTCAAGTTCCCCGAGTGTTATTATGCGCATAATTAGAAAAAAATTATTTATCATTTTAATGAATGAAATACATAAGTTGGAATGAAAGCGCATTTTTATTGTTGCGGGTCGTTCATACGGCAGGTCATCCATACAGCTGGTCTTCTAGATTGCGGTTTTTTGAGACTGCATGTCATCCAGACTGTGGGTCATTCAAACTGCGGGTCGCCCAAACTATTGGTAATTCAAACTGTTGACCATCCAAATTATGGGTCGTCCGGATTGCTAGTCGTTCATAATGTTGTTTGTCCAATTTGTTGGTCATCCATACTGTAGGTTATTCCTCTTGGTTGGTCGCCCAGGGCTGAGTCGATTGGGACCTGACCTGGCTGAACTGGTGTTGGTCATGCATAATTTAATCCTCGCTTCTTCTCATTGTATTGCTCCCCTTCTCGTTTGTGACATGATCTACATACACCGCACTTTTTAGGATGTTAAATTTGAATTTGACTTTGAATTACATCCAATGAATAGACTATAAAACAGGGGGGAGGGAGAGGGAGAGGGAGAGAGAGGATGCACAATAATGGACGGTAAGATGGATTCTTGATGAACCATTTCTAAAAAAATTATCCCTCTATTTACAAGTGAGGGGGGTACAATATGTGTAATAGCATGCTTGCCCTTGATTTAATAGGCGTGTTACAGGGTATTCTAATTATGTTATAATTGTAAGCCTATACTTCAACTATTGTATTACTCAGTCGATTTAGATCAGAGGATCTGAATTCGGTATAGTCTACTCATCCGACCATACTAAATTGGGTTGACGGTCGGCTTTTGATGGTCTTCAGGTCAGTTATTGGATAGAGAGTGAATAACCTTAATCAATCCCTGACTGAGAACCCCCTTTTGACAAGCAATGCTAGATTATTGGGCAGAAGATGAATCACCTTGATCCGATTAGTAGCTCGCCCCTTGATAAAAAGTCTTACGGGATGCTCTTGGAGTAAGCCATGGCCAATCCTCGGCCTTCAAACGAAGAGGTTCGAAGGTGTTAATGAGATGGCAAATGATGCTGAACTTTTCCCTTGAGTCGGGTTTGGGCGAGAGTAGGATTGATGCCTTCTCTCGGATTGTTGACCTAGGTCTTTAGTTCAGACTACCCACATCCGATTGGCATCGTGCCCTAGTTTAGGACTGTATTTGATCAGATAGATCTCTTAATCTTGTGTGTGATGCATTTC